AATATTCAAATCAAGGTGGGAAGCAGAAGCTGAAGTTACTGACGGGTCAGTGGGAGAAAATAAAGATAAGATAATCAGAGGAAAGTGATCATTAGTTGGATAAAGAGAGGACAGGATGAGGACGAGGGGCAGAGCAGCTGAAGTAAAAATGAACAATGAGATCGTTTGGTGTTCGGAGGACTGAGTGAAGCCATCTCATCAGAGCTAATACCATCAGAGCCAGTCTGAGCTCTGATTAGGGAGCCATTTGCAGAAGCAATCAAAGAAAAGCAACAGAGCAGACGTCCATCCTCAGCCGGCCTGACCTCTCCGCTGAGACGTCTTAAACTGCAGAACACGATTGGAATAAATAATGTCAGCTCTCGTTCTGCAATGAAACTGAAACGTGAACTCATTTTTCCAAAGCAATCTTTATTAAATGTAAGTCCTGTTGATGTATGGAGACGATCTCCTCCTGTCCTGCCTCTGATCTCAGCTTTTGGAGTTTATACTTTGTTTCTTGATTTTAAAAATGTCCTTTGTCTGTTTTGGTATTTCTGTCAAATTATTTGTTTTATGTTACGTTACAAATTTTCAACTTCTTAACTGATTTACTATTCATTACTATAAAATAGGTATTTATTTACAGGAACAAACTTTCTGTGTCCAGAGTTTCTGTTCTTTGTGCTTCAAACAGAAACATCAATTTTCTGTTTGAGGGAAACTTGATGTTGACTCTGTCCAGCAGGTTGGTTGGTTGGTTGGTTGGGTAGTTGGTTGGTTGGTTGGTTGGGTAGTTGGTTGGTTGGTTGGTTGGTTGGTTACATGTTTTTGTAATTTTCTGAGTAGATTCTTCTTTATTCTCTTCAGTTTTAAAGATGACACCAACAGGATGAAGACGTGACTGAACCACCGGAGCAGAACGGGGGGAAGTGAAATCCTCTGCTGGATTCCACTTCCACCTCAGACTCCCTCAGAGCAGATAGTGAAGTAAATTCATTTCCCTGTCTTCTGCCTCGGTGGACGTTCCTGCAGGTCGTATTCTGCGACTTTATTTTCTCCACTGCTGAGGTCTTAAATAAAACAGCAGCTCTCTGACAGATGTCCACCTGTCTGTGGATTGCTGCACAACAACAAAGCAGGTTCCCTTCCAGCGACAGCTCACACATTATCGGCTGACAGGGACTGCAGCCGGTTATTGATTGGTTATTTCAAGGGACGGCGCCTTCTGTATTAGCTGCAGCTTGATGGAGGTGGAGAAGCAGATAATGAGGAGACTGATGAGCCGAAACCACGGAGCCGTGACGGAGGCCGTTCACTTACAGCCTGCTGCTGCTAATGCATATTATTGAATATATGTGTCATATTTAAGAAATCTCACATTCACTGTGACACTATGTGAGGAAACACATTTTGTAAAGATGAAGGTGAGCCGTTCCCTGCAGGTCAGGAGGTCAGGCTCTGCCTCAGATGGAGACGGTTTGGTTTCTTGGTCATGATGTCATCCTTCAGATTCAGATTTGAGTTAATTTAATGCTATTTGAACCTTAAATCTTTAATGTTCAAGTCTAGAGTTTTAATCTCAGTTAACGCTTGAATCCATAAATCTGAAATAAAAAATGTAATGTAATGTTCTTATTGTTGTTTGGTCTTATTGTTTCTCTTTTGTGTTTATTAATGCTTTCTCTCCACCTGCAGCCTGTTTACTGGTTGATCTAAGTCCAGTAATCACCCTCCCAGTACAGGCAGCTGGTTTTCACTCACTTGTCAGATCCTCGCTGTAATTTCTTCTCTCTTGTTGTTATTTATGTTGATTTTTATGATTTTTTTATCATCTTTAGTGTAGAAAATGCTCAAAGTTTCAGAATCAGTTCAGTTTCCAAACACTTCATAGAAATAAATACAGTGACACCTACTGGTCAACTTACAGCATTACATTAACATGAATGAGGGTGAGGGCTCATGAAACATAAACTGCTAGTTTTTTATTAAAACTAAAATATATGTGTGTTATAATCTGATTTTACAATCATAAAATACATAAAATACTGTTTTTACTCTGGCTTTTGATGTGTTTCACAAGATTGATCATAATACAAAAACTGTCAGAGACAATAATTTAGGTCAAATGCTTGAGTAACTGAGAGTCTGATAATAATTATACAGAATGTTGGTAAGGATGGAAAAGGCTTGGTGGAAAAACGGGAACTGGTGTAAAGTTTCACTTTTAAATTATGAATATAAAAATAGAACAAAACTAAGTGAACAGTGATAAAATAAAAAGAAAATAGTTAACATGTCAATAAAATGGGGGGGAATCGGTGAGAGAAAGCGTGACGCTGTTTAACTTCTGGGTTTTTTAAGGTTTTTGTGTTTTTCTGTCTCACAGGTTGGTAGTTATGATGAAGATGAAGATGAAGACTCCACACTGAGCTATGAAAATATTTGACTTCCTCCAACATCAAACTGAACATTTTTTAACACACATGTATTTTTAAGATTTAATCTTGTAACAAAACATTTTTCACTTGCAAATATATCTGAAAATATATTATTAGTTTGTGCTGCTTTTTTATCTAAACTCGTCAAAATTCACATTGGAAAATGTCCAAGAGGTTTGAACAAACATTATTCTCAGAACATTGAGTGAGTAATTAATTCATTTATTTATTTATTGTACATCTCCTTAGAATTTTTTACTTTAATTAAAGTGAGTCGATGCAAAGAAAGGAAATGACAGAAATGATACTTTCCTTGTTAAATGTGACACATTCTGGTCTTTTTTCCTTTTTCTTTTTTAAAGCATAGTTCTGCCTTGCTTTTCTTTTTTTTAAGTGTAAATCAGATGATGACTAGCAGACAGGATGAAGGTTGGTGTGAACTCACACACAGAGGAAATAAATCGTTCAAACATGAAGCAGAGAAAACTCCCCTGACTGTGATGTGATCTTGGTGCTGGAACTATTTTTCCTTTCTCTGCTTTAATTTTGCTTCTTCTTCTTCTTAGATTTCTGACTAAATGTTGAGAGAGCAGTCGCCTCCAGCTGGCAGGCAGAGTCTCTGCACACTTCACAGCAGCCGGACTCTAAATGGAGACATCGACGAAGGCTGAGCTCCTAAATGTTGAGCTTGGTTGACGACTTTTATAGCATAAAACCTTATGATCAGTTTCTCTTTTAACAAACACGAAGGGTGCAAGAAAACTGACCATTAATGCATTTTTTAAGATTTAGGGAACTGGTTGTTGCTTTTGTAGCTCCTGTTGTTTCCTTCAGTTCATCTCTATAAGCATGTTTCATTATTTATGGTTTATTTTATTATGACTATAATGATTAACTTTATGTGCAAATAGGATAAACTTGTGCAGGATTCAGATGAGTGTTTTAGACTTCCTGTCAGCCTGTGCTGCTCTGTCAGCCTGTGCTGCTTTCTGCCGCTGCAACATCTGATTAGACATTGGATCATTTATTCGAGGTCTGAGCATGTGGCAGGAAGTGGAGGTTATTTTAGTTTAATTCTGCATAACTTTCAACCAATTTGTACTTTCACTGTTACTCACATATGTCTACCTATTAAATGCATTTTTTTCCTTTGCATATAATTTGAAATAATTTATCTCCACCTGCCAAACGCTGAAGTCTTGAGTGTTTAACTCAAAGCAGCAGCTGTCAAATGGCATCTTAGTAAACAGTAAAAAAATTAAACAAGCCAAAACATGTTTTTGTGCTTAGCAAAGAGAAAAAAGTAAATATGCAGCAAAACTTGTGCTTAAAAAATTTGCTCCTTTTTTTTTACACAGCTTTAGCAGAATATATGATGAGAATGAACAAGATGTAGGCGTTTCTTTAACAAACGTTATCTCTAATATCTGCCACACAGCGGAAATAAGAGCAGTAGTTTCAGTCTGCAGCGAATTAAAGCTGCTTCGTGTTTCCTGTTTACTAAGAAAACATCAGATGGCTCGACTGGAACTCATTTTACTTCTGCTTCAGTTTGAAGGTAAAAACCTTTTTATAGTAACAGACATTAATTCATAAACTCATAAGATAATAAATAGTTTCTTTGGTTTCAGTGTTGGATAGAAGTCTATGAAGATGTGGAGAATATGTTTCTGTTAAAAAGTTACATTTCTTCTGTGTCTGCTTTTGTTTCATATTATATTACTGATCATAAAAATGCATCATACTGACATTTGATCCATAAAATCTCTATAAGGGAGCAGATACTATTTATAGCAATCAATACTGCAGAGAGTTTGTGAATGAAGAAATAAGAAATTAACTTTATCTCATGATTGACTGAGTTCAAGTCGAGAACTTTTCAAATAATCGATATTTTTCTGCCCTAGTCGACACCAGTGGAGGAAATATCCACTTACTCTTCCACAGACCGGGGGACGACGTTCTTCTGCCCTGTTTCAGCGGCTCAGTTTCTGTGCAATGCTCCGCTGTTATCTGGCTTCACTATAGCGACACCAACACTCAACTGGAAGTTGTTGTGGGTGGAAAAGTGGTTCAGGGTGGTTCTGGCCGGCTGGCGGTGGACCGGAGCTGCTCTCTGATCGTCTCCTCCATCACTGTTGATGACGCTGGACGCTACACCTGCAGGCGGCAGGAGGGAGAAAACTTTGAGTCTGACGTGTTTCTGTTTGTTTTGACCAGTAAGTGCCTCCTTTCCACATTAACACTCATACCTGAAGTGACTTTAACTCTGCTATTGCTGTATAACAATCTTATCTGTCTTATAGATAATGATCATTTTAAGTACGTTAAAAAAAAGTTACATACTGCAGCTTAAAAATCTACTTTTTTTGCTTAAATGCCTTCTATGGCTGTAGTTACTGTTGCAGGTTTTATCCCAGAAACTGGAGAAAAGGAGAGAATATAACGATTCTGTTTCTCAAATCTGAGGAAGAAGAGAGAGAGGGAGGACTGAGTCTTGATTTTGGGGACAGGGACTTTGAGTTGTGGCATCTCAAGAAGGAAGTTGTCTAAACTGCAAACTAAACCCAAGCCAATTATCTGGTAATACTTAACCTTACAGTTAATTTTAAACTAAGCCAGCAAAGGAAAGGAGACAAACTTGTCGTTCTTTTAAGGAATGAAACGTAAGTCAGATTTTTTCAGACTGAAGCAACAGTTTTCTCCTATTCTTTTCTCAGTTTCCCTGGTTTTACCAGATGCTAATGAAACAAAGGATGGAAACGCCACGTTGCAGTGTTCTCCCTGGAAAAAGCAGATAAATGTTCCTTGCTCAGAGAGGAACATCCGCTGGCTGGATGCAGCCGGAGCCGAGCTGCAGGGTGAAGCCGTCCACTTCCAGCACTGTGCTGCCAATCTGACCGTGAATCTTCAGGATGACAGAGACAAAATATTGACCTGCCAGATCTTCTTCTTCAACAAAGTGAGGACAGAGGCGAACTACCCACCGGTTTCTAAAGGTTTGACACCTTTTTTCTGATACTTTGCAAATGTTATTTAGGTTGAGAGAAACATGAATATTAAGTATTTAGCAACACGTAGACTTGACTTAGACTTGTGCCTCATTCTTGATTTGTACTCCTGGTCTGAGACTCCAACGGTTTTTACAGTATGTGAGCTGCAGACCAAATGCTGAATTAAACAACACTAGATTATTTCAGAACAAAACAGAACATAACTTTTCTCCACCATTATCTTATGGCTAAGCTAGCAGCTATAGCTAGCTAACTGCAACATTACAAGGACACTTCTGATGGAAAATATCAAAATAAAAGCATGTTTTTTTTTTCTCTTTAACAGACACCAGAGGAGGAAGTGTTCATTTTCAGTTTTCCAAATCTGGAGCTGATGTTGCTCTGTCCTGTAAGAGGGATTTAGTTTCCTTTGACTGCTCCGCTGTTCGCTGGCTCCACTACAGGGGATCCACAAAACCAACCCTGGAGATTGAAAATGGAAACATGGTTCAGAGTTCAGGTCGGGCTGCCAGGCTCAGTGTGGACAGTCAATGTTCTCTGATCATCACCAACATCACTGCAGAGGACGCTGGAAAATACACCTGCCAGCTTCAGGGTGGAGCCGGCTTTGACACTGACGTGTATTTATTTATTTTAACAAGTGAGTATTTGGGAATTCATTTCTTTTTGATGTTCCCAAGCTAAAACATTCCCATAAATGTTTGGAGATCTGGAAAAGCTCCATCCATCCACATTATTACTTTTTCTTTCAGTGTCTCCACCTCCACCTGATGCTGATGTAACAAAGGGAAGAAATGTCACGGTGCAGTGCTCTCTGGCGGGACACAGTTCATCGGACCACTGTCCACAGAACATCATCCGCTGGGTGGACGACTCAGGATCTGAGCTGACTGGTGAAGATGCTGGACACAAGGATGGAAAACACAAAACCTGTGCTTCTTCTCTGACTGTGAAGCTCCAGAGAGGCATCAAAACAAGATATCACTGCCTGGTTGTTGTCCAAACCAAAGTCAGAGTAGTTGCTGAGTACACAGCTTTCTTACCAGGTTTGGTACTTTTTTCTATTTTAGATAAATTATCCCAACATGGATAGCAACAACTGGCCAAAACAGCCATAATATTACATTACTACCATACATTATAATCATTAAGTTGGTTCTGTTTTTCTGAAATAAAGTCTAGAGACATGTTGCTGCCTCTGGTTAAAGAATGCATGTCACCAGAATTTATTTTCCAGGGATTTTTGAACCATCTTGGTCGTTTCTCATGTGTATTTCCACTGGACTACTTATATAGACTGTGTAAACCGAAACTAAGAAGATCCTTTTGCATTTTGAGTTCTACTCTGCACATGAATAATCCTAAATACTGAACCCTATTGCTTTGTAGCTTTAGTAAAACTGTACATTTTCCCTTTTTTCAGAGGCCAGCCCTCCTACAGACCTGATCATGAGTGATGTGACCAACACCAGTTTAAGGGCGGCCTGGACGGCGGCGCCCAGGAACAAACAGACTCACACGGTGCAGGGAGATGTAACTTCCTCCATCCTGACAGGTTCAACTCCAAAGATGCGTTACCAAACGTCTGTGGTCACCAAAGGGAGCGACCGACTCACTGGACCAGTAACCGCTGAAGGCAAGGCACTGCAAGCTCTCAGTGGGCTGCTTGCTTTCTATATATGACATTATTAAAAATCTAAAGCCAAGTTAAATTTAAAATGTGGACAAATAAATGAGTAGTGCAGATAAAGATG